TCCTCCTAGTCGAGTAGTCGCTAGTACGGTCCTGTCCATGCATGCTTGGTTAATAAAGAGATTTATTAGTATCGGGGCGGCGAATCATAGCATTCCCTTGATTAGGCTGATTTTAGTTATTGCGGTCCTCTCAACCGTAGCCTCCTACGCAGACAGTCTTTTGGGCTCGTCAAAGAATGTTCTGCGTAGGAGGCTGTCTTGTAATAAAGACAGTTTATGACAGTTATTTAATGCCGTACCAATAAATTATTATGTAGTGATTAATCTCAGTGGTTTCCCAGTCTGACCAGCCCTGATGGCCTCCCACTGAGGGGTTTTGGGGAACAAAGGGAACAAACGAAAATGGCATACTGTAAAACATGGACTGCGACTGGATTTGTAAAAACATGGATTGGATTGGATTGGATTTGTAAAACATGGATGTGATTTGTAACAAACATGGATTTGTAAAACATGGATTTGTAAATAACATGGATTTGTAAAACATGGATTGTAAACATGGATTTTGGTAAAACAATAGGATTTGTAAAAACATGGATTTGGGGTAAAACATGGATTTGTAAAACATGGATTTGTAAAACATGGATTTGTAAAACATGGATTTGTAAAACATGGATTTGTAAAACATGGATTTTGTAGAAATGAACACCACATCGCAAGATAGTCACGAAACCACGCTGTTTCCTTTGCAAACTGAGTTCGTCGGATATATTTTCTTGTAGTATTTCATTGTATTTCATTGTGCTGATTGTTGAAAAGCTGCGCGGACTTTAAACAAAAGGTGGAAATTGGAAGAATATGCTGTATAAAATTGCGACAGACTCACATTCTTTTCCTGCACGCTCCTCCATGCAATCAGGTAACGCGTACAATGTACATTGGATAGCTGTCAAATTTTGTAAAATTCAAGTCAACACCTCAGGAAAAAACCTTCTGATGAATTTCGATCCTATGTTGGCCGTTTTCCATCACAGGTCAAGCTCAAACAGGCAAACGGCTTTGGATTGGTTTGTTTGCATTGTTGATTTGCGGTAGAAGGAATTGCTTACAAAGGGACATTTGGCGAACCGAGAGTACGGCAAACAACAATAAATGGACCGTTGAAGCGCTTCGAGGTTTGAGTTTTTATTTCTTCATTTTGAACGTACACGTCACTCGAACCTCCCCTGACGGACATCGCCCCCGCCGGCGGACAGCTCTCGTAAGCCGGACATTTTTTCTGGTCCAGAGAAGTGGTCCCGCTTGCGGGAGGTTCGACTGTAATTTTACGAAACAACCGTTGGAATAAAAAATATTTTTTGGTGTTTAGGTATACTATCATGAATTAAACGTTCAAACGCACGCTAGTATGCCGCCTTTTGAATTCTGACTGCACGACCAGTACATCAAAATAAAAACACGGTTTTCACTGAAGAAAAAATGTAATGATATGAAAGAATAATGTCGAAAAAACTTCATTATAATTACAAACAGACATCCTAGTTTCAAGAATTGGATCGATCTAATCAAGTTTTTCGGCAAACGGTAACAAGTCACGTTTTTGCGGATAAGCTGTCAAAAAGTTTACGGCGGTGCAAAACAAAAGGAAAGGAATGTGGTTAGTGGGGAGAAGCGTTTGCGTGATGACCCAATAAAACGGCTGCGTAGGAGGACTCAGCGTCCCCAAGCGAATGAAAACAAAAACAAAAATGGAAACAAATCGTGCATTCACAATGCAGGACAAACAAAACCCCCAATCATAAGCCGTTTTCTGTTTTGAGCGTGACCTGTTGATTGATGAATTTCGAATCCTATGTT